TTAATTTACCCAAAATTAAAAGAGTACAAGTATTGCACTTTGTTCTTATTCAGCTTTGTTTCCCCCTCCAACGGGTGATTAGCTTGACCCAGTCCACTGATCACTGGATTTCTTTCCTGGGACCTGCAGTAACCTTGACTGATAGAACATAATTATATTGGATTATTTATTTAATAGGCTACTTTTAATCTGTTTCCCTGTCTTGCTTTGTCAGCTCCCTCTAAATCTTTATAATCCCATGCAAAGTACCTCTAACTACAGATGCTTGCACATTTACACAACATTGATTCTTTGTATTTTTATTTCAGAATTTTATGATTTGAGAGATTCTAGATCTTGGCCCTAAGTTATTAAATATTTGATAGTCTGTCTGCCAACACACTGAGACCTTCAGCCAGAGAGCTCAATGACATCTCCTCTGTGTTTATAACCATAATTAAAGGTTATTTAATTTAACCAATCAATTGTTTAATGACTATCTTCCCTGTAAGAATTATGAGTTTTAGGGTCTGTGTCTGTGTCAGCCTTTACTTGTCTATAGTGTACCTGAGCTGTTGGCTCAATGCCATGCATTGTCACCCATTCCACAACTATTGATTCAGTGCCAAGGCTCTCTGTTCAGCATTGGGGAGCCAACAGTTAATAATACTAAGTTTCTGTCTTCATAGACATTCATTCTAATGGAGTGAGAAATACAATAAACAAATCAGTAAACATATAAGAAGTCAGATGGTGATCAGGGCTATGATAAAGAGCAATACAAGGTACTATCACTGGACAGGGGTTCCAGGTGATCCTCCAAAGAGAAGAATGGAACCTCAACACCCCAGTGAGTTCTTGACTTTACCTGCTGAAAATAAGCAAAGATTTGTTGTTGTTGTTTTGTTTTTTGACAGAAAAGTGTGCACACCACAGGCAGAGTGTGGGTGCCCTTCGCCTCTCAGAGAAGACAAGTGATATACCCAGGGTTGAGCTCTCTAATTAAATATATGATTTTCCTGGGAAGCAATGTGCAGGTTTTCAGTCAAGTCTTTGAAAAGCAAGTCCATGGCAATCATTAAATATTTGGGGTTCAGAATATTTCTGTTTGGTCAAACAGTCTACCTATTAGTGATATGGATAGCAGATTGCGTAAGTCTTTGAATCCAGTGGTTTTTAAATTAATTTTGTTTCCGTTCTAATTGATCTGTTAAATGCTAGGCTGGAGATTTTGTTCATCTAACCAAAGGGACAAATACTCCTGGTCATGCTCCTAGAACTGGTTCTTCCTCTACTAAGTGTCCTTTTTTTCTCTCTCTCCCCAAGAGCCCACATAAATTAGCAATGGGCTAAAAATGATATGAGGTGAGACAGAACTGTATTAGGTGGGGTATTTAGGGAAGGCCTTGTGAAGCAGAGACTTGAAAATTGTGAGAGAACTAGCCACAACCACTTCCAGGGAAAGAGCCTGTTTGACAAGAAAATGTGTGCAAAGACAGAGCTATGTGGGTGTGTTTAAAGAACAGGAAAGCCAGTGTGGTTAACTTAGAAGAAGCAAGAAGAGGGAGTTAAGGTCTTAGAAGCCAGATCATGCCAACAACGGTTAAAAACCTACTACAGTAATTCAGTGAGAGGTGACAGTAGTTCAGACCAGGTTGGTAGAAGTAAAATGGGGGAAAGTGGGATGGCGGGAAAAAGCCAGAAAGACAGAGTTAGTAAGATTTGCTAATGGATTGGTTGTAGGTGTGAATAAAAGAGTGGATTCAAGGCTGATTGTAGATTTTTTTTACCTAAAGCAGTTAAAAAACAGGTGTTGATATAATGAAATGGGAAGGACACCAAGAAGAGCAGTTTTAGGGCAGAGGGAGATTTGGAAAATAAAGAGTTGTACATGTCAGTGCCTCAGTAACATTCATTGGAATGAATGAATCATTCTTATACTTACTTTAAAAAAATATTCAACCAGGAAGAACTGGAGGATGTAGAACTCTATGGGTAGAAATATAATAAAAGAGAGAAACAGAACTACCCTCCACAGCCCTTTGAGTACCAAAGTTTTATTACGATTTCATTGGCAGAGTTATGGGGCTAAGGACCTGAGGCTATTATAACATAATCTGATAAACCCATGAATGTGCTCTTTTCTGAGATGATCATCAATTTCTATCAAACTGTGTCCCCAAAACAACTAATAGGAATCAATAAATTAAGTCAATATATATCTATTTAGCGTCTGTTAATTCTTCCTTGGAGGTTTCAATTTAAGCTAAAATAAGTGAAATGTGCCAAAATTTTAAAAATACTGTTGTTCTTTCACTCTCCCTCCCTCCCCCCACCTCCCCTCTCTCTCTCTTCCCCTCTGTTTCTTTCCTAAGAAACTCTGTGTTACATGTTGCCCAGCCTGACCCCAAGTGATCCTCCTGCCTGGGGTTCAAGTGATCCGCCTGCCTCAGCCTCCCAAGTAGCTGGGAGTAGAGACACACATGCCACCATATTCTTATTTTTAAAAAGGATGGATAGGAAGTGTTACATGCTAGGCAGTGAGATAAGAAGTGTACATTATTGTCACCTACAGTGAAAGGTAGTTTAATTTATTGTCAGAATTATCAGCCTTGGACTTTTAGAAAAACTTTGGCTCAAATCTCAGTTCTTCTACTTGCTAGCTGTGTTACCCAGAACAAGTTACAAAACTTCCCTCCTTCTTAATTACGTGGTCTATTTAATGTGTCAACTGTCTAACAAGAATGAGGTGCTTTACATATGGCTAGGTTTCTGCTATTAAGCTAACAAACTTTGATTATAATTTAGCCTCTCAGGTAGATTCGTTTTATAGGGAAACTCACTAATTACAGAATATGAGCATCTAGTCTGCAAAAATAGATCCTTAATGTTTGTAAGAAATCAGTCTCCAGAATCCTTTCACAACTGAATGTGTAAATAAAATAAAATATGGATTCCATAGGGTCACTATCCTACTCCTGAGAATTTTGTGCCTACTAAAGTACTGTATCATTTGACAGTAACTGAAATTATATCTTATAAACTACTATGCATTATAAAACAAATGAATTATTTTTATTATTATCTGATATTGAGAGCTAATTGCATTACTGAAAATTTACTGGGTCCAGTAAATTTTAATAGGATTTAAAAAGCAATACTGAGGCTTCAAAGATCCTTATTATTGTCACCATTTCCACTGGGTCCAGGTATAATCAGATAGAAGTTGATATTTTAGAGGTCTCATTTATTGTCATAGCCTAAGTTTTAATTCAGTAAAGGAATTTTCTGAGTTGTAGTGTTGACTCACTGAAGATTTTTTAAATGACCAACCCTGCTTTTTTTACATTTATTCTTTAATTGTAGGTGTACACAATATCTTTATTTTGTTTTTATGTGGTGCTGAGAATTGAATCCAGTGCCTTGTGCATGCTAGGCAAGTGCTCTACCTCTGAGCCACAACCCCAACCCTTTTTAAAATGCCCTTTTTTGAGTTAATTTAACAACATGATTTTTGATAGGAATAAAAATCCTTTAAATTAATGTCACTTATGACAACCTCTGTAGTGCAATAACTGCATAATATCCAAAATCACCTAGAAATAGGGAAGAAAAATCCATAATTAACTTCTGCATACAACATTTAAACTGGGAAAATAGTTGAACTGAAACAAGTTTAAGTATTTTTTTGAGTGTTTTCTTTATATTTTTAGGACTGAAGAAAACAAGAATAATAACAATGTGCACCCTATTTCATATAAAGGTACATTTTTAAAGTTTTTTTTTTTTTTTGTAAAGCCCTATTACCAAATGGAGTAAGAGCACAGACTTAGCCAGACTTCCTTGATTAGTATCTCAGTTCCACACAGCTATAATGCTGATAGGCAAGTTAGCTTACTCTCTGTTCCTGTTCTCCTGTGCTTTAAGAGGGAATAAAAACAGTGTCTACCTGGATGGATTTTAATAGCATTTAAAAAGCAAATTAAAATTTTAAAAGTGCTTAAAAGTGCTTGCCATGTAAATGCTACATGTTTGTTAAGTGAGTAATAAATACCTTAGATCACACTTATTATCATGATCAATCTTTGATAAAGGGAAATGTTCGTTCCCGTCTGATGTACAAACATTTAAACAAAAGTCTAAGATTTGAGTCTTGTTAGCCAAAATTGGTATAAACTTCCTCCCTTTCCATTTTCACATATTCCCATTCCCAGGTCATTCCTTTTTCACAAAGTCACTGCATATTTAAGTGTGTGCCTTGGATTGTTATGTTGACTAATCATTTGTCCTTAACTCTTCTCTCATCAGCCTAAGAACAAGAAAAGCAAGATTGAGGCCTCTGCAGTGAAACTCAGGCAATAAAGTTAATAGCTGTTCATGACTACCTACAGCAAAGGCAAGGTAAGCAGATAAGAGTATTTTCCTCAGTGCTGAGGTGCCAGCCCAGGGGTTGGAACCCCACCCCCACCCCCATTTCTTCCTGGTTTCAGCAGGATTTCTGCCTTTTCTCCTTGCGTAAACACATGCTACCAAGCCTTCCAACCTAGGTTAAATTACTTAACTTACTCTTTGCCTCAGATCTCTCTGAAGAAAACAAGTCCCACCTGCAAACTAGGGTTTAATTATGCTATGAGATTAACGAGTTAATACCTACCAAGTGCCTGCATAATGCATACTTGTATAAAAGGGATGCCATAAACTTTGGTGTTATTATTTTGCGGGACGAGATTTTTTTAAGTTCCGTGATTGCTTTTTCCATAAGAATTTGTTTCAAATAACTGTACTGCTCAGAAAATGGAGAAGAGGGGTAGATGGGGAAGTGGCCTGCTGGTTGGAAACCCAGTGGGGGTAGTTGGGAGAGGGGAGGGACAGCGGGAGACGCTTATAATAGCCCAGAAGGGCAAAGTCTGTTCTGGAGCTTCCAGAACAAACTTTAGCATGAGAATCCGCGCAGAACCCCAGGGTCAGCAGCTTCTGCACAAAGCGGCCAAAAAGGGAAGGCTTCCAAAACCAGCAGGGTTTTCCAAGTCCAGCGCAAGAGATCTTTTGACCCCGGGAGTAGCCGCAGCGGGCCTCAGAACAGCCTCTACTCCACTAAAGTTTCCCAGAGTCGCCTCGGTGGCCCTCACGCTCCGAGACACGCTGTTGCCACGCCAAGTGTGTCTGTGTCTGCGCGGCTCTAGCAACCTCCCTGAGAGGCATCTGGTCCTCCCTTCAGCCATACAAGTGACCAAAGACTGCCACCAAAGCCACCAGCACAGGGAGAATTAGCACCAAACCCCGGGACCTCAGGGGCGTGGCTCGCGAGGAGGCCCCACCCGGCCACCCCATTGGATAACGCTGCCGCGTGGGTGGGATCCGCGGTCACCAGTCCAGGACCCGCAGCTCCGCCCGAACGTGGGTCCATGGGGACAAGAGGCCCAGGTGGGTGAGAAGCAAGCTCCTGTGCCCAGGAAGCCCGGTCCCCGGGCCATGGGGGCACAGGTGAGTCTGTCTTCTGGAGAGCCCTGCCAAGAAGGTGAGTTTGTACCCCGAGGCGGGAGAGATCAGGCATCTGGATGGCCAAGAGACCAGGTGGGCGGTCCCGGGGTACCTGTGCAGACGCGAAAGATGCACCGACTCCACGCAGTCGTTAGTGTAAATATTCACTTAATTGTTCGTCAGTGCGTTGTGCCGGCCAACAAATGTTTATTGGTGCTTACGATATTCGGGTTTCTTGGGAAAGCCTGGGGGGATCAAGACAGTGACGAGTCCCACTCGGTCCTGGGGGCTGACCACTGTGAACTGCAGCGTGCTCAGTATGTGACGGAGCAAGTCAGGACTATGGAGAGACTCCCAGATCCCATCGCAGAAGGAGGTTTCCTCTGATTCAGACTCGCTTCAGAGGGCGAAGTAGACGTCACCCAGTGGGCAGAGGGCGTGCCCAGGAACCCCGCTGGAGTCGGGTGCTGAGCCCTGCGCTGGCTCTGCGAGGGTCCAACACCCCGAGGGGTCATGCGCCCTACACCTCCGGGAAGGGCGATGGCCAAGTCTGGGTCCCCTTGCTTCTCTTCTTCCTTGGATATGAAAACGACTGTAACCCGCTACCCTGGCTTCTGACTCGCGGTGCAGTTGTTTCTCCGCAGCTTAAAAGAGAGTGCAGGATGGGAGAGAAACCCGGGAACCCGGGGCACTCTTCTCTAAGTTGTTCTCGCTGCTTGCTGCTCTGGGTTTACAGCCCCTACCAGAGCCCTGTTAAGTCACTGGGCGCGGCCCCATGCACTTCACCAGGTGTTCACAACACTGACAAGCTTTCTACACTTTCGACACAGAAGGTGCGTGTAAGCCTGGAGAAAAGGGAGGAAGCTTGCGGGTGAGGGTTGGCGGGGGTTGGGAGGGGAGTGGATACCAACTGAAATAATGTTTTTCACGGCGCCACGAGGAAAGCCTATTTATAATTTACCTGGCAATGATGTAAAGACGAAGGTGGAGGGGGTAGTAAGCGGCAAGGTGAGAACTAGACTTTTGCAAAGTTGCTGGCAACTTCCTTGGTTTCCTCTCCTTGGGCTCTTCCAGATTATTCTTGATGAAAAAAAAGTCGGGGGTGGGGGCGGCAGTGAACTCGTTAAAACTGTGCAAGCAAGAAAGAAATAGAACACTCCTAAAAAGGAAAAATGCCTGAACAATTTTCAAACTATTCAAAAATTTAGATTGGTAGTTACTAAGGCAGCTGTGTCCAGAATTATTTCCTAGATAGTCAGATAGTTGCCCTTTTTCCTAAATAATTCCCAAACCAGTAAGTCATACTGTTACTAATATACCCACCCTTGTTTACTCAAGGCTCTGTAAGTAAGGAGGGTGTGGAATTACACCCACTTGTTTGAGCATCCGGATGTTTTTCCTGCTTTGCTCATACACTTAGTTCCAACAAGAAATATTCAAGCTCAGTGCTTAATACCTGTGATTAATTGTGGTAATTAATTATGTAAAAAGATGGTGGGAAAGAAGAGAGAAATTAGAATCCATATTTTCAGTAGTGAGAAGAGATTAGGCTTTGGCATCAGTCTTCCCAGCTTCAGCCTTTCCTCATCTATAAAATGGGAAGAATTCCTACAGTTTACAGCTGTGGGGTAGATGCAGGTGGGATTATATATGAAGCAAGAAATACTGAACCTGACATGGGGTCAACATGGACTCAGTTTTTCATTTGTTCAAATAACAGATGAGTCTCATGCGCCAAGAACTGGCCTAAGCACTAGGAAAGGCATTTGCAATATAGTCTAATCCTAGACTCTAGGAGTAGGTCCTGCTTTTGCACAGCTTACTTTCCAACTGACAAATAATATACAAGAAGCAAATTAACTAAAAAGTAGATTACATCAGTGGTGTCATGAATGGTGAATTGAGGATGTTGGGGATATTTAGATTGGGTTACTCAAAGCCCCTTAAAGAAAGAACTTTAAAGAATCAATAGTATCTTCTCAATTTTATTGCTTGCTTGCTTGATTGATTTTCTAGCTGAGACCAAAATGACAAGGAGTCGATCATAACATCTAAGAAATCAAGGAACTGCAACTCCTTGAGAACTGGCTGAATCTCTCTTTTGTAATGACTAGGACATTTCCCATATTTATATATATATAATCTTAAAATTTTAAATGTATCAGTTTGTCCTCACACATAAATTCCATGAATTTTATTAGACAAATATGTCCATTTTAAAGATATAGAAACCAAGGCCCAGAGAACTGAATAGAGTTTCATAATTAATGATCAAACCAAGTACAAAATTGTTTGGGCCTTTATTTCTCCTGTATTACCCGCAATGGACTGAATGGTGTTTGCAGTTTATTGATATAAATGCCAACTTGTTGCAATATTGTTCCTTAATTATTTTCCTGCATCTTCAGTTTATAAAATTTTTTTTAATTTCAAGGGGATTTTTAATCTTTAACAATCTAGTAACTTTATTAATGAACAGTTGATAAAGTGAAAACAGCAGCAGCTCATAAGCTCCCCACTGTGTTTAGAAATACAGGTTTTAATTTTTTAAAGAATCAATAGTACCTTCTCAATTTTATTGATTGATTGATTGATTTTCAATTCCGGGGATTGAACTCAGGAGCACTCAGCCACTGAGCCACATCCCCCGCCCTATTTTGTATTTAGAGACAGAGTCTCATTGATTTGCTTAGTACCTTCTCATTGCTGAGGCTGGCTTTGAACTCACCATCCTCCTGCTTCAGCCTCCTGAACCATCCCCGGACTCAATTTTATTTTGATTAAATGGAATAATGGGCATCTTATCAGGCATCAGTTTATGTATAGATTTGTCTAATAGGTCATGATATCCCAATTTGCTCTAAGTTCTCATTCTCTTCAAAATTGCTGTAAATTGTTTTCACCCTAACTCTTCTCTGAATTTGCTCTAAATGATTTTTCCTAACTGTTTTGCTCCCTTATTATTGTTTGCTTTTTCTCTCACTAAAATGGTCAGTTTTGTCAGAACAGAGACCTGTTCACCTGTCTTGTTGACCATTATCTCATCAGTTCTTGGGACAGGGCTGATACAGAGAAAGTACTCAATAAGAATCAGCTACATGCTGCACAGATGATAGCTAGCACAGTGCCTTGCAAGTTAAGTATCCAACAGCTATTTTGTTGAGCAAATCAATGAAATAAATATATGGATATACAGAGTTACAAACATCATTAAGCTGTAAAAAGTGTGGGAGTCTTATATATTGACGTGATGGAAAGTAATTGAGAGGATCCTTTAGATTGAGAATGCAGAGAAGACTCTCTAAGGAGGTGACTGTGTTTGTGTGTATGTGTGTGTGTGCACGCGCACGCACGCCCCCATGCATGGACACACACACATACACACATACCTGCTAGGCAAGCACTCTACCACTGATCTACACTCCCATCCCCAGGAGATGACATTTCAGTACTAGCCAGCACTCTGTAATGGACTAGGTAATTACTATTCAAAGAGCTTTAAGGTAGAGGAACAGGAAAAAAAAAAACATTTTTTTTTTTTAATCAGTAGGGAATGAGGTTACAGAGATGAAGGTAGGATACTGCAGGGCCTTGTAGACTATGGTGGGGGATTTGGGGAGAGAAACAACGATTCAACCTACTTTTCTATAGGCTACTACACCTGAACTTGCCCCTTTTCTACTTTGACTGCATGTCGCACCATCTCCCTTCTGTCACACCAGCCAGCCTGGCCGAGTGCAGTTCCTTTCACTTCTCAAACACATTCTTTCCTCAGGGTTTTTGATTTTTCATCTAATCCTGTTTTTAAAAATCTATTCATTCATTGATGCTGCTTTTACTGTTTCCCATACTGGTCATAACATATCATACAGTTATCTGTTCATTTGTTCCACCTTTATCTATATCTATAAAGCACCAATTAAAAAGAATAAATAAATGAGTAAAAGGAAGACAGAGTAGAGGAAAGAAAGAGGGTGGGAGGAGGGGAGGAAAAAGGGGTCACCAGGGACTACAGTGGAGAAAATTAAATTCCATGCATGTAAGATTTTGTCAAAATGAAACCAACTATTATGTATAATTGTAATGCACTAATAAAAGAACACACACACACAGACACCCCAAAAAAGAAAAAGAAAGAAAAACTGGGTGAGAGAGAGAAAAGTAGGGCTTAGTGGAAGTTAAATCATTCAAGACCAGGGTTTTTGTTGAATTTCATGTTATATCCTCAGCTTCCCCAAACTGCCTGACAGAGAGTAGACACTCAATAAATAGTTAAATAAGTAAAAAGTTGACTATGCTGTTTCAGGACTGGGTGAGAGAGGAAACAAGGCAATAGGATGTCAGAGGTGGGCATGTTTCAGAGCTTACAAGGCTTTACAGTGGGGTTAGCTAGGAGTTGAGGTTTTGTTAAAATTGGGATGAAAAACCATGGAGGGGATGGGAAGGACTAAACAGGGAAGGACATAATCTGATTCACATTGGTCAGTATTTGGGGATAAATTGTAGTGAAGATACAAGATTTAATTCCATTTTTTCTATGCCACTTGGAATAGGCAGGTTGCCCATATTCTTGCTTTTGTATCTGCAGGACAGCTGAGGGTGACTGGTCTAGACTTGGTTCACTTGGGTGTTTTTGATTCACGCTGTAACCAGCTGGGGTTGGATTTTTCCTGTGCGCTGAGCAGGTCTTCTCCACATCTTTTTTGTTTGCCTTTTTTTTTTTTTTTCCTGGGTGGGATTCAGGCTGAAGGAACAGCAGCTGCTCAGGGAATTACAGAGTTACAAGAGAGTAAATCTAACCAAACATCACCTCTGCTGTCTTCTTATTGGCCACAAAGTCACTTCCAACTTGATGTCAGGAGATGCAAACAATCACCTGAGATTATGGACTTCCTTTTATGGCTTATTTCATCTTCAGTTTTGGAGGTTACAGTCTATGATCAATGGATCACATTGCTTTGGGCCTGTGTTGAAGCAGCACATCATGGCAGGAGCATGGGGTGGAGCAGAACTGCTCACCTAATCATAAGAAAGGGAATTGGGGTTGGGGGGGTAACAAGGAGAAGTAGTCTGAGGATCACAGTCATTTTTATAAGGCATGCCTTCAATTACCCAAACAACTTCCACTAAGCCCTACTTTTCTCTCTCTCACCCAGTTTTTCTTTCTTTTTCTTTTTTGGGGTGTCTGTGTGTGTGTGTTCTTTTATTAGTGCATTACAATTATACATAATAGTTGGTTTCATTTTGACAAAATCTTACATGCATGGAATTTAATTTTCTCCACTGTAGTCCCTGGTGACCCCTTTTTCCTCCCCTCCTCCCACCCTCTTTCTTTCCTCTACTCTGTCTTCCTTTTACTCATTTATTTATTCTTTTTAATTGGTGCTTTATAGATATAGATAAAGGTGGAATTTACTGTAGTATATTTATGTGTGCACATAGCATAACTTTGTTAAATCATTCAGCATTTCCTCCCCTTTCCCTCCTGCCCTCTCAATCTCCTTTTTCTTCCCCACTGACCTTCCCTGTATCTTTGTGATGTCTGACCCCCTGTTTTTTTTTTCCCTTTACTTTGTCCTAGCTTTCACATATGAAAAGATTCAACCCTTGACTTCTGAGTCTGGCTTATTTCACTTAGTATGATACTCTCCAGTTCTTTCCATTTACCAGAAAATGCTATAATTTTATTCTTGATAACTGAGTAAAACTCCATTGTGTATGAATACATTTTCCTAACCCATTCATCAATATGATGGAACCACTTAGGCTGGTTCCATAGCTTAGCCATTATGAATTGTGCTACTATAAACACTGATGTGGCTATATCACTACAGTATGCTGATTTAAATTCTTTTGGATAAATATTGAGGAGTGAAATAAATGTGTCATAAGGTGATTTCCTTTCTAGATTTTCAGGAATCTCCATACAACTTTCCAGAATGGTAGTGCTAATTGGTGTTGTCCTACCAACAGAGTGTCCCTTTTGCTCCACATCCTCACTAGCATTTATTATTATTTGTATTCTTGATAATTTAGGTCCCACTTCTTAAAGTTCCACCACCTCCCAATACCTCCACTTTTGAGACCAAACCTTTAACAATGGGCCTGTGCGTGACACTTGACATCCCAACTATACCAAAGGAAGAAGAGTCTGCCCACAAGGGACAGGATAAGGGAGTGAATGCCAGCTGAATAATCAAACTATCACAGATGAATAGAGGATGATATGATGATTTCCTCAAACGCTACATATCTTGCAGTGATTAAAAATGTAGTTTTAGGGGCTGGGGTTGTGGTTCAGTGGCAGAGTACTTGCCTAGCATGTGTGAGGCACTGGGTTCAATCCTTAGCACCACATAAAAATAAACAAATAAAATAAAGGTATGTTATCCATCTACAAATACAAAAAAAAAATTAAATGTAGTTTGATGCAATCATAGACATCCTAGAAACCAAATTTCGGTTTCTTTAAAATATCTTCTAGCTATCAGTGCATATAAGTTGAGAATTGGTCCATTAGCAACATGTTTGAGTCAAAGAGATTGTAAACAACTCTGGGAGCAAAGATAGATTATGTTCAAACTACAAAATTATGAAGATGTCTGTAGAAATATTGTATCAAACTGCTTAAGAGCTCTTAAGGTGGGGAAAGATATAGTCCTATAGAATATCTAACTTTATTTTCAAAATTTAAAGGCATGTGTATAATCTATTACACCTGCTCATAGAAGGTACATATTATTTTGTGCCGTATGAAATGCTATTTTGTAGGATCAAAAACTTATCAATTTTTTGATTCAACATCACACGAGAGTATTAGCAAGACTCTTTGTAAAAGCAGAACATCATAAATTACCTAAATGTCCACCAATTATAAAATAGAAAAATTATTTGTGGGTTAATCATACTGTAGAAGTCTATAAAATAGTGGGAGAAAAAAGAAACTTTGCAGCCACAAGTATCAACAATGACGAACCCCCAAAGAAGCAAGTCACCAGATAATACATTCTACACAATTTCATTTTTATAAGGTACAAAAAGAGGTAAAACTAAACTATTTTGATGTATTAAATAGAAAAAATCATTTTAAAAGCAAAAGAATGTTTAAGAGAAAATCAGGATAGTTGTTACCTCTGAGGGCTAATGTTTTAATTCTTAAATTGTATGGTTGATGTACTTGGTGTTATTGAATTGTTTTTATTTATAACTGACACATATTTCCTTACTATTTATTACCCAGTAGTTTCAAGTTGAGAGAGATTATTCACTGACATTGAAGAATCCAATAAGTATAAAAATTAAGGTAGTGATAAATCTTATACTTGTTAGTCTGAAAAGTACACCTATAGCCATTTATTTGACTGATTCACTCCCAACTTTCAAAAGAACAGATTGAAAAAAACAAAGAGACTCCTATACAACTATATAGAAGACTATATTTTCTTTAAAAATGGTTATTTACAAACAGAACACATCAAAGAGTCTTCATTAGCATAAAAAGTGTCATTCCGAAATATCGATCTCAAGATGATAGAGGAAAAATCAAAACATAATCATCTAAGTTTATCCAAAAAAGTTCTTAAATCCAATTTAAAATGTAAGTATCAGGCTGTTTACAAGAAATGAAATTAACAGGAGATGTAGCTCAGTAGTAGAGCACTTTCTTAGAATGTGCAAAGCACTGGATTTGGTTCCCAGCATATTTTTTTAAAGAGAGAATTTTTTTTTTTTTTTTTTTTTTTTTTTTTTTTTGGTTTTGAACCTTTAATGAGAAAAAAAAAAAAGATATACTATGGAGCTCAAAACCACTGTGGTCAGTGTGTCATTGGGTCAAGGGCTGGGACTACACACTGTAGAACTAGCAAACAGAATATGTTAACAAAAATACACACGGTCACAAAACGTAAAACTGGTGCTGGACATGGTTAAGTCTCGGTTTCCTCATCATTCAGCAGCATGTTGGGGATCCCGCGGCTGATGGGGAACACACGTCCTGACTCGGGGCATTGCAGGGTGCCCTCCAGCACGTCCACCTCCAGCAACACGTGATGCATCTTTCTCAGAAATGTCTCGTCGTTCATGTAGCCCTCAGTAGGCTCTTTTGGAACCTCCACCAGGTGCAAGGTGTCAGCCGCCTCCAGAAGCGCCGCCCACTCCACCTTGGGTATCATCCGCGCCACGAAGTCTGGGTTGAACTCCACGGGATTGATTCGGACTTCGGTGGCCTGGAGGCGCAGGGGGAAGCCACGAGGCCCCACCCCCCGCACATGTGAGCTCAGTAGATTGTGGGTGAGCAGCTTCATGTTTCCACAAGGGCTCCTCCCAAGAGAGAATTTTTTAATATTTATTTTTTAATTATCGGCGGACACAACATCTTTGTATGTGGTGCTGAGGATCAAACCCGGGCCGCACGCATGCCAGGCGAGTGCGCTACCGCTTGAGCCACATCCCCAGCCCTAAAAACAAATCTTAATCCATGGTGATGTACACCTGTAATCTCAGCTACTCAGAAGAATCGGGTAGGACGATTGCTGGTTCAATGCCAGCCTGGGAAATTCATGCTACTTCTGAAGGAAATAGTCTACCATAGCATCATCCTGGGCAGGGTTGGAGTGTGTCCCAGCTCCAAGGGCCTGATTTGCAGCGGGTTGTGGCTGAGCTTGTAACCCTGTTCCAAATGTCAAAACAACAGGCCTGTTAGGATTAGCTGGTTCTTGAGAGTGGTGTTTCAGGAGGGGGCTGAAAGAGTCCTGCCAAAGCTCTGCTTTTCTCAAGACACAGGCAATATGCACTCTACCAGCACCTGGCTCAGTACTCCTGATTTCATTCTGAGATCCATGATTAAGTCCATAGTTTTAACTAGAGCTGTCAGTATCAGACAGAGATTCTAATGTCAGTTTTGCCATAGTCATGTGGTACCTTTGCCATAGTCATATGGTACCAGCCTTTAGGCCTCTGTTCATTCAAATCATTACTCAATATTGAGAAAAATAATAAATTAATGAAGTTATATGTGCTTCCTCCTGAAAGGAGTATAAATTCAATTCCAAAGTTATACTTAAACCCAGCCTCAGCAATTTAGCATGGCCTTAAGGAACTTAGTAAGACTCTGTCTCTAACTAAAACATAAAAAGGGCTAGGGATGTGGCTCAGTGGTTAAATGCCCCTGGATTCAATCTCTGGTGCAAAAAAAAAAAAAAAAAGTTTTCTACTACTGAGCTTCCTGTCACTATAGAGGGATATTGAAACTGTCTATTAAAATAAATAACTAATATAATAGACTTTGTCTTTCTATGCTAAATAAAGTCTGGATTAAACTCCCTGCAATAGGACTTTGCTTGCTCAGATCTTCAGAAGCCAACCTTGATTTGAGATAGCTTTGATTCCTCTAAAACACTGAACTCTCTGCCCACACACCCTACTTCTGCCATCTCTCCCCTGTGCCACTGCACACCCATCAATCCACCATTCACTCCGTCCCTCCTTCAGTCACATCTGCTCTGGGCTCTCTGCCTGACATATGCCCAAAACATAGAGCAATCCAAGTGTTAGGATCTGCAATCTGACAAGATTTTACTTGTCCTGTCATGAAAGTCAAAACATTCATGTCTGCCACTTAAAAATGAGAACTTGGAAAATGCAACAAAGATGATTTGCTCTCCCTTATCACCCTCTGCCCCCACACCCCCTAAAATGTCAGAAACATTTTGCTGTGTCAACAACTTAGAAGGAATATTGTTTCCCTGGAATGAGATCCACCCACCCTGGTTTCAGAGATGGAAGTTTTGAAATGGTTATGTTAACTACATAGTAAATGACACAAATACAGCCATGGAATTCACTGGAAAGCCAATTCAGACGTTTTCTCAGGAATGAATGTAATCAAAATTCTTACTAACAAAAATATACACACTCATTTCCATTCCTGAAATTTAAATGAGATGAACAGTGGGCAGAACAAGACTACAAACAACCTACATGTGTATTCTCCAGTATTACAGAATATCCCTGAAAAAATATAATTAATTATTCTTTGAGTATTTAGAAGTTTTTGTTTTTCTAAGTTGATTAATTTACTTTAATTAGGTATACGTGACAGCAGACTGCATTTTGATTCATTGTACACAATTCCTGCACAACTTTACATTTCTATGGTTGTACACGGTATAGCGTAACATCATATGTGCAGTCATACTTGTACCTAGGGTAATGATGTCCATCTCAGTCCACCATCTTTGCTGTCCCCATGTACCCTTCCTACCCACCCTACCCTTTGCTCAAAGTTCCTCCATTTTTCCCATGCCTCTCCCCTCCACATTATTTTAATTAGATATTAATTACTTTGCTTAGCATGATATTCTCCAACTCCGTCCATTTACCTGCAAATGCCATAATTTTATTCTTTTTTAATGCTGAGTAACATTCCATTGTATATAGATACCACAGTTCCTTTATCTATTCATCTATTAAAGGGCATCTTCCACATTTGCTTCCATAGTTTAGCTACTGTGAATTGAGCTGCTATGAATATTTAGAAGTTTTGACTCAGAATTTATTCTGTATCTCTTAAGTAAAGTGAGTTAATTTCCAAATTAGTATGAAATAGTAGTCATGAAAACCTTGAATTTGCCAGGTACTGTGGTGTACACTTGTAATCCCAGCTACTAGGGAGGCTGAGGCATAAGGATTGCAAATTCAAGGCTAGCCTCAGCAACTTAGTGAAACCCTGTTACAAAAAAAAAAATTAAAGGCTGAGTGCGGTGGCACATGCCTGTAATCCCAGAGGCTTGGGAGGCTGAGGCAGGAGGACTGCATATTCAAAGCTAGCCTCAGCAATTTAGCAAGGTCTTAATGAACTTAGCAAGATCCGGTCTCTAACTAAAATATAAAAGGGGTTGGGGATGAGGCTCAGTGGTTAAACGCCCCTGGATTCAATCTCTGGTGCAGAAACAAAGCAAAACAAACAAAAAATCCAACCCTTGAATTTAATTATTTATTTTTTCATTTTCCAGATAGTTGTTTACTAACTTTGTTTATAGTAATATTCAGATGCCTTCATGATGCTTTGCCAGAGATGCCAGATCCACTTATGGAAGTTTTGTTGCTAAGACGTTATTTGATCTATCTTTTGTTGTTGCTTATATGCCTTCTTCAGATTTTTGAGACATAAAACTGACTTCTTCATTCAATTCTAAAATTATATTTAATAATCTTCCTTTGCCCTTTTTTGTATAGAGTAACTCAAACTGGGAATTTTCCTTTTTTTGAAAGGAAAAAAAAAACCCTGAAAACAGAACATTTAGTGACAGCATCACCTTGTTGGTATCTGTTCAAGTGGCAAAGAGATTATAAAAATTTCTCATATATAGTAAGTCTTTTCATGCTGTATTTTAGTGTTTAGCTTCAAATTTTCAAGGCACTTACAATAATAAGTCTGGTTCACTGGCTTTGCATATTTATTTGGATCTTATTCTTAAAAAAGCCTATTCATGTTTAGTTCATTTTTTTCTATTAGATTCGGCTTTATTTTGGAGAAGCTGGATTAGTAGACCTAAAAACAGTCATTTTTTTTTCAGGAAAAGTTGTAAGGTAAGTTAAATCTACCTTAATACATGTTTTCTCAAATGCACAATTCATACTCCACCAAATGAGTTAATTGAATATCCTGTTATGGGGTAATTTATAGACCAGTGAGATTGCTGTGCCCTTTCCTATATTCCTGGGTCACAGCCCCTGCTTTCTGAGAGACAGGCTGGTTATGTGAAGCAGTGAAGTGACTTTGGGAGACTGGGATGAGTTGTTGAGGCCAAGCTGGGTCTACACAACCACTCACAGCTCCAGCAGGTTGCTGATCTGGTGGAGCAAAGACCCAAGTATTGCCAGATCTTCCAACTTACAAGGATTCCAGACTTTCATATAAAATCTCTCATTTTTAAATGATGACAACTAAACAATTTTAAATCATTTTTCAGAACATGTTCAAACCGAATCAACAATGTCTATAGTTCTGTAGACCACCTGTTGAGTACTGCCCTACTTGCAGTTAAAAAAAAAAAAGAAAGAAAAAAAGTATTTTTATAATGTCCACTCAAGTCTATGTTTCTTGCAGAAAGCATTAGTATGTTTCCCTTTTATTGATGACATTTCTCTCTTTCCTTTTTCCAGGCTATGTGCTATCTCTGGTCTGTCAGAACTCCTCCCAGTCTTGGTGTGAGATCCCAAATGTGTCGCAGCTGCAAGCTTCTTCTATCCTTTATGGAAACCTGAATTCCAGCACAACCAACTGGAGCATTTCAGCAAATGTAGAAAACAAATACAATCTTTATGTGGGCTTGCTACTGGCCATATGTTCTAGCATTTTTATTGGCTCTAGCTTCATTTTGAAAAAGAAGGGACTCTTGCAACTGGCCAATAAGGGTGTTACTAGAGCAGGTAAGGAACACATGCAAATAATGAATTCCAGTTTCTAATTACAGAAATAATTCCATCATGAGACCACAATGCTATAGTCATGATCATTGACTCCGTTTATCTAAGCCTGTGTGTCCTTGATTGAGCCAGCTGTCTCCCTGACAGTCTCTGACCTCCTACATAGAGTGGCTCCTGCTACCTCTCCAGCTTCTTCCTGTGCCACCCTCCCACTCTTCTTTCACATTCTTGGAATAGACCAGCCTCTTTCCCACCCTGAGGTCTTTTTCACTGGTCTGGAACTCTCTGCTTCCTGCCCACTGAGCTGACTCACCCTCCAGACTTTGGCTTGAATTTCACTACCCGGGAAAGGCCATCCTGGACCATCCTGTCTGGGAAGGTCTCCCCACCTGCATCCCCTGCTGCTCTCCATCATTGCATAACAGTTTCCTTTCTTGGAGTTATGTGTGTATTGTTTATTTACTTATTGTTAAGAGGATTACTTGTTTATTGGTGGTAGAGAGGAACAAGGGAGGAACCTTTCTTTGCACAACATTTGATACCTGATAAATATTTCTTCATATCTGAATGGACAGCAATAGAATTAGTCCACCATTTATACTGACATTTCAGATACTAAATAAGCACAACCGGACTATCCTTTAAGTCATGAATCTTCTATTCCTTTTCATCAAATGTAAGTCCTAAATTAAATATTTTTCTAAGGTCCAAATGGAAAAATAAATTAGTACAAATTATGCAAACAAGTTTCTGAGACAGTTCTATTGAGAGTACTATTTGTACCTTCAGAAAACAAAAACATACTATATTAGTATATAAAACAATTTAGTATTAGCATTAAAATAGATACAGTAATAAAAGATTATTGAAAATTTACAGGTGGACTCAATTACATATCAAATTCTAATATATGATTTTTAAAAGTGACATTTCCAACAAGTAAGCACAATGAATTATTAAATTAAGAATATTCACATCAAGTGGAAAAAAGTAGAGGAGAAAAATGTGAGAGGTCTACTTTATACTATTCAGCAAAATAAATTGCAGATCATTTAGGGTTAAATTTAAAATAAAATAATTTTTTGAAAACCTAAAAGAAGTCCTTTTTATAAGCATAAAAATGACAAAGAACCTATTTTATGTAAAGGAAGAGATTTTCTGGTTTGGCAAAAAAAAAAAAAAAAAGAAAGAAAAAGAAAAAAGTACATGTGCACACAGTGAAAACACCATAGCTGAAACTCCAGAGCAAATGATTTATCAATAAGGGGGAATTACGAAATTATTGACAAAAAGTAGTTAGGTTCTATAATATAAAAACAGTGACTTGCAGTCAACAAGAAAATTAGTGCCCTAACAGAAAATAGGCAAAGCTCATAGACAGGAAACACAAAATCAGAAATGCAAATGAATACAGAAGAAATGTGAATTGTCAATAAACATACATAAATAAATATTATTTTACTAGGACCCAGAAGATACTAACTATGCAAATAAGGTTCAATATTGTCAGATGATTCTAATTTTTTCATTTGCGAATTTTGTAAGGAGAAAATTCTAAATAACCATGGTTAAACTGCTTTTGCAATTTATAGCATACATGTCCTATTGTTTAATTATAACAAAGTCATCAAAGTCCAATTCAGGGAGTTAAGCAAATTAAAATTGAGAAAATCCCATTTTCTATAGCAAACATACAACAGTGCCTTCAGGTTGCAGGAAGGTGATTGAATTCTTGAGGACAGTTGTTTGTCCTTTTATATAGCTTTAGACAGAAGCTCAACTTCATTATGCTAAGGTAAAGAATAAGTGGAGTCCATCTGCCTAATGCTTGTTTCCTTTTATGGACTGATCCAAACTTCAAAAGCTTTCATGTCAAGCATCCTCTTCCTCAAAAGGTGACCAGCGTCATTTACAATTTAGGATTTTTTGTTTTAAATTTAAACCATGGCCAAAAAAAAATATTGAGAGTATATCACATTTAATGTCCATACCTCTGCCTGAGATAAATGCAATGGACCTGATGACTAAAATTTCCTACCAAAACAAACAAACAACAACAACAAAAAAAGCTTTCTGTAGAAATAAAAAATGAAGTGACATAATGGAAAGCTTCAAAAGATCTTTGGAAATGACCAAGTTAGTAAGCTCAAAGATTTTTAGATTGTGACTTTTTCAACAGTAATCGAGTGTCTTTACCCATTGTCAATTGTTCTACCCTTTTTTTCTCTAATTTGGAACCTAATTTTTATTTTTTGGTGTTTTTCCTAGGACAAGGTGGACATTCTTACCTCAAGGAATGGGTATGGTGGGCAGGATTACTATCAAGTAAGTTCTTAAGGAGAGAATCATGTTTACTTGTAAAATGATAAATCCATTACATGGAATTTTTCAAAATTAATTTTTCTTCCTGACAAGGATGGAATTTACGCCTAAAAGTTATGTGTGGTATAACATATTACCTTATACAGAATAGTAATAACAACAACCATTAGTGTTACGATGTGTGTATCTATGTGTGTAATATATGGATTATTTTTTACTCACCACCCCCTCCTCTCAATACTGTTCTGGAACACAAAGGGGAAAGTTGATATTTGAAATATTAATATAAGCTCACAAATTTCTGATTTATTTTTTTTCATGCAAAGTGAGAAAGGTGCTTTCCTTTCATATTTTCCCAGCTCCTTATGTGAATCCATGACTATCCTAGCTGCATATTTCTCAGGAATGGGTACATTTTCCTTGCAAGGACCAAACATGGATAAATTAAGGGATCCTTTGTTGACACTGGAAAAAATGGGGGAAAAGATGAAAGTGGTTGGCACAACTTCTCCCAGACTTGCTTTCAGGATCAAAGGAGACTTGGCAGCTGTGAAGGCGCTTTCTAAATGCTAATGTAATGTCTTCACAGAAGGAAGACTTGTCCCCCTCCACCCCTTCCCCTGTTTCACCCTTGCTCTTGCCTTCTCTGAACTTTCTTAAATCCCAAGCTTGAAACCTCCAAAGAAAGGACACTATGAATGGTAGCTTCACACCACTCACTAATCACTTTCTTCTGCAGTCAGAAGTCTTCATGGTTCCCTATATTTCCCCAAACCAAGTAACACGTTTCAGTATTTCATTATTTGCAAGATCCTTATAAGAAGGAACTTGGGTCCATTTCCTTAAAAAGGGGTGGAGGCGTGGAATCCAAAAGGTGATGAATAAAACATATTTAAGTTTGTGTAGCCCTTTTGGTATTTTGGGGGGGGGGGCGGTTACCAGAGATTGAACTAAGGGGCACTCAGCCACTGAGCCACCTCCCCAGCCCTATTTTGTATTTTATTTAGAGACAGATTCTCACTGAGTTGCTTAGCACTTTGCTTTTGCTGAGGCTGGTTTTGAACTCCCCATCCTCCTGCCTCATCTTCCCAAGCCACTGGGATTACAGGCATGCCACCCTTTTGGTTTTTAAGATACTTGCCCATCCATTTCCTTACTTTAGTTGAATCAAAGTTAACAAGGACTATACTGAGAAGATTCCAGGTAGATATGTGAACGATTCTCTTGTTTTTCTTTCTTGCATCTCCTCAGCCTGTACTCACACTTTAGAATGAGAATAGAAGGTGACTATTTTATGGCTGCATTTACTATTGCACTCTCACAATGTAAAAACGTTGATGCTGGTATTAAGAGAGAAAAGTATACATTAGAGATTGCATCTAGTGACAAACGTGGTACCTTAATCATGGGGTCAATGTTTTCCTGGAATGCTGTCCATAAAGATGAGAAAATAAGCAATTTAAAGTATTCTAAAAAAGTTTAGTGTTCTGAGAAAAATGCCATAATTTGTTTTTTTGCTAGAATAGTCTTCTAATTGCTCTGTAACTTTAGAGTTTCTTATAGCGCTTTCTTAATGCTGGGTCCTCCTTTAGGTTGGGGGAAGGAGTGGGAAGGGTTAGCAAAGCAGCCAAAGAAAGGGAAAAAGAAAACGTAGGCACTCGCACTAGTCTGCAGTAGTGTTATTTTATCTCTCCACAACAACCATTTGCTTGGTGTTGTTTGCCAGCATGAAATACTACATTCTCTGGGCAAGTGTCCAGTTATGATCTGTGAGAATAACTTGGCTCCAATACAAGAGCCTAGCTCTAGGAGGGATTTCCCTCACTCCAGGAATTGTTTGCACCACACTGCCTCATGGAAGTGTAGAGTTCCTCAGATAAGGAAAAGATGACATTCTGGAGCACTTCCTTAGGACTTTAAAACAGCTGCTTGGATCTTCCTGAGCTACTGAGCTTCTGTTACTTGCTACAGATCATCTGTAATTCAAGATGCCTGATGTCATAGGCCTGGGGTAGGGATTTCTTAGCTCTCCCCTATGTTGACACTAGCTCTTCACAAAGCCTTCTAATTTTACAGATTGTTGTTGTCATTGTTGTTCTTAATTTGCCACAAAGAGATATTCAAGAATGTCAAGTAGATGTTCTTGAGCAAATGGAATAACTCTCAGATTATTCCAAAGCCACCACTATTAGATTTCATCAGAGTGACCAAATATGTTTTCAGGACTGAAATAACTAAAATTAATTCTACTTAAAATCATTTGGAATATGTATTCATTTGTCACCAGTAGTAGAGTTTATATTACCAGGTATATTGAGTTTATCTGACTCCCTTAATATTAATCTTTTCCCACTGTCTATAAAAAAATGAAATCATTTGTTTTAGCTAGATCTTTGAGTGTCTTTGAGCTGAAAGTCCACTGTTTTGTGAGAGTCATTTGTTTTTCTCTTCTGATAAATAAATTCATCTCATATATCAATACTTCAACTTGCTTTCTAGTGGGAGCAGGAGAGGCTGCAAATTTTGCAGCTTACGCATTTGCACCTGCAACCTTGGTCACCCCACTGGGAGCTCTGAGTGTTCTTATAAGGTAGGTGAGCAATAAGGAGCTTGGCTTCTATAGGTATTTTAATAACATAGTCCACTTAAACCATAAGAAACATTGCTGAATACACCTCAAAAAGAAAAAAAAAGATTAGACTAACCTGGGCTCTGAAAGCATAAAAGACTCAAAATAATTTCTGGGGCCCCAGGGAAGCTTTGAACAAGTCACTTAATCTTAGTTTCCTCATTTGTAAAATATGGATTAAATAAATGATTTTTCTTGGACTATGGATGTAGTTGAAAGTAGAACACTGTGCAAGGCCTTGGATTTGATTCCCATCACCAGGGGAAAAGCATTCTTGCCTAAAAAAAAAAAAAAAAAGCAATCACAAATTAAATTGAGAAGACTCCAAAAAACAGGAAGAACTAGATTATCATATTGTTATTTAAAAAAAAAAACATGAGAGAGTAAGCTTGCTTTGTGATGATTCAGTGAAGCCTAACAGAGTTTTGTATTTTTCTACTCTTTGAACTCTGACCTGAATACATTTACAGAGTCCTTTTAATCCTTTCTGTTGTCATAGTGGTGAATGACTATAGAGGACTTTAAAAGGCATAGCATTTGGGCATAGCATAGACCTTTAAAAGGCATAGCATTCTCACTAAAATGCTGTGTTGTCTGCTTTATACTTCTGTTTTCAGACCTGGTATATTCTTTTAGTGCTGTTAACAGGAATTATTTTTATCTTTTGTAGTGTGTGGATCTGATGTTTCTAAGGTGATCTGTATTATGATCCCAAATGAATGGATCCAGTGAGCCCATACACTCTTTTATTTCATAACTATCATTTCGTTTTCATTCATTATCAACATTTACTATAAAATTTATGATTTGGCCTCACCATTTATCTTCACCGTCTTTAATGGATTGTTATGACAACTAAGAGTTAATACACATAAAGCACTTAAAACACTGGTCTGATGTTTTCACTGGGGTTGCAGTCCCACAAGTGGCCACATGAGGGAGACTCTAGGCAAGCCACAGGCTTGGGAGAAGATGGGCACCATTAATTTCATTTGTGCAAGTGCCAGAGCGTCAGAGGAAGGAGACTGATATGCTGAAGCCCCCATTAGACCTACTGGTGGAGCAACAGGATGGCATACTCTAATATCATCATGGTAGTGCCAATCTGAAGCTTCCTGAGGTCAAGGCACTAATAACAATTAAAGCATTGAGAGTATTGTCTGGGTGAAAGTGCTAAGGTAGTAGCAGGTAATAAGGAAGTATTTCAATATTTTTATGATCTCCATGGTTGTACTAGTGCTTACTAGCTACATATCAGCTCTAAGCAGAGTAACTCTTCTTAGTATATATCCTTCTTTGAAATTTTCATGGGCACACAGATTCTAAGTGTACTGGTTGAGTCCAAAAATCCAGAATCCACAATGCTCCAGAATTAGAAACTTTTCAAGCATGGACATGATGCCACAAGTGGAAAATTCCACATGTGACCTCATCAGATGGGTTGCAGTAAAAATGTAGGCACACCCAAAATATTGTATAAAATTCCTCCAGCCTATGCACACTAGATATATATGGAACACAAATGAATTTTATGTTTAGATTTGGGTCTCCTCCCCCAAGAGATCTCATTTCGTATATGCAAGATTCCAAAATATGGAAATAAGTAGAATTGGAAGCATTTCTAATCTTAAGTATTTCAGATAGGGATAGTCAGTCTGTATCGTGCCAGTAAGACATAAAAGACCTTTGGCTTTGCTTGGCTTTACAGGAGATGTTACAATTGAAAATGAATTGATCGGAACTCTTAGAAGGTCAGGGATGTTGACAGGAATATAAAAGTCTGTGATAACTCTTCAGATATAAAAGCAACAAAGCAGAATTAATTGACCATCACTTATGAGTTTAAAACTAACTCAGATTTTTCAGTGTCATTTAGTATGTTTCAAGCCAATTTACTGGAATACAGAGTGGCAGGTACTGACTGGAATTCTGAGCTACTATAGAATCAAAAGGCAATTCAACTATAGTGATTTGCTTTTTTCTCTCCCAACAGTGCCATCTTGTCTTCCTATTTTTTAAATGAGCATTTGAACATTCATGGGAAAATGGGCTGCATATTAAGTATATTGGGGTCAACTGTGATGGTTATCCATGCCCCACAAGAAGAGGAAGTCACTTCTTTGCATGAAATGGAAATGAAATTGAGAGATCCAGGTCTGTGATTCAGCATAAAGAAACACTTAAAGTCTGCTCCCTTTTCCTTCTTCATCAAATGATATTTATAACAATATTATAGTAGGCTTCCTACAAGTCTTCATGTGGGTTGTGAAATACAAAAAATTTTGCTTGTTACAAGTCTTCTGAAAGGAACACAGTTTATTTTTGTATTCATTCTTCCCCCTCTATACAATGAAAAAGAGAGAGGAAGAGTAGGGGCAAAAGATTTATCGTTAAACTCAAAGTTTTGCCATTTCTTGCCCATATAAAAATCAAAGGGACAATACTTGCCCTATCTCACAGTGTTATCGGTGAGATTCAAATGATATATTTGTAAAAGTCCTTTATAAAATAATGTGAATAATGCAATTTGATGCTACTTTTAATTTAATCTCACTTCTATTTCTAAAATATCTATGCTCTCAAATTCAGGACTAACAAGAAAGATCATGATTCTGTTAACATTTTCTGAAGTCTAATTCTGTTCTCTTTCTGACAGGATTTGTTTCCTTTGCTGTGATCATAACTGTGATCTCCTTGGTGCTGATTTTGATTGTGGCCCCCAGGAAAGGACAGACCAACATATTGGTCTATATATCAATCTGTTCTTTGATTGGAGCATTTTCAGTTTCTTCTGTCAAGGGCCTGGGAATTGCCATTAAGGAACTACTAGAGTGGAAGCCAGTTTACAAGAATCCCCTGGTCTTTGTTTTGCTGGCTGTACTTGTGCTCTCAGTAACTACACAGATTAACTATCTCAACAAAGCACTGGATACTTTTAATACGTCTCTGGTGACCCCCATCTATTATGTCTTCTTCACCTCCATGGTAGTGACTTGCTCTGCCATCTTATTCCAGGAGTGGTATGGTATGAATGCTGGAGATGTCATCGGGACCCTGAGTGGGTTCTTCACCATTATCAATGGCATTTTCCTTCTACATGCTTTTAAAAATACTGACATTACCTGGAGTGAACTGACATCCTCTGCTAAGAAAGACATCCTGTCTCCAAATGGCAACGAGAACAGTTATGTTTTACTAGAGAACTTAGAAAGTTTAACCCCAGGATATGATGATGATGTCACCTTATTTAGCAGGACTGAAGATCAGAGTCCCCATAAAACCTGAATTGTAACTAACATTAGATACTCGAAGAAGAGAAAGAAGATTTATTCTCGAAAGGACTTCAGGGAAAGTTAGTGTTTTTAAAGTTTGGTACCTTAGATCTAAGTCCAAGTTCCATGAAATTTGAAAGTCAAGACCTGATATTCCTCCCAAGGATTTCTGCATGTTTTCACTGCTGAAAACTTTGAAATATCCCTTAAGCCTAAAAGAAGTCCAGGAGTTATATCTGTCTCATAATAATCTTTTTCTTCTGGTCACAATGGATTTGACTCTGCCAGGTGGCTCTTCACTTCTCTGGTAACTATTCTTAGATTCATAGTAATTCATAAAGCTAACTATGTTCTAATAAACAGAGTACCAATCACCAGGCATTGATGAGTCATAATCTCAAATTATTAAAACTGAGAAGAGAGAACTCTTGTGTTCTGAGCTCCCTTCTGCAACTTCCTTCTTTTAAAACTAGAGAGTAAATGGGCAAAGGGTTAAAGAAAAAAAAGAGGCCTGCTTTGGACTCCATTCCTTCCTAAGCTAAAATGTACAAAACACCCTCACTCCCATGAAGGGTTTATGAATTACAATATTTTTCCAAATATCTTATGACTTCATTACCAATTACAGAGGGAAGATTATAGGAAGGAAGAGAACACTTGACCTTTGGAAAAGGAAACACAAGTTTTATTCTTTTTTCATAAAAACACAGAAATGATTGTTGCCATAGGTTCTTTTAACAGAGACCCTGATGACATAAGACAAAATAGACTTTCTGTAGAAGTAAAAGTAAATCAGCTTTGGAGTGACTTATATTCATTTCATTTCTTTCTTTAATCATTTTCCCAAAGGTTATATTTCTTATTGACAAAGAGTTTTTTTTGTAAAATCTATATTATTTTAGGATTATACTGTGCTTTTTTTTTTACTAACGTTTTATCCCTAAAAGGTAAGTTTTCCATAGACTGTTTTAAAACAACTAGAAAAATCTTTTTGAAAAATTAGAAGAAATCATGCTAATGATTCTCTTGAAATTTTACTTTCACCCTTAATAAGGAAATTGTAATCAGTTACTAACTTCTCAAAATAGACCTATCCTACCACAACAAGTGCCGGACTGTCTTTTTCTGCTAAATTCATCCTATGTTTTCCATGCGGCTTGTTGATGGAGTTAGAGAAGATAATGCTAAGTGAAGTTAGCCAATCCCAAAAAAACAAATGCCGAATGTTTTCTTTGGTATAAGGAAACTGATTCATATTGGGATGGGGGGGGGGGAGCATGGGAGGAATAGATGAATTCTAGATAGGGCAGAGGGATGGGAGGGGAAGGGAGGGGGCATGGGGTAATTAATGATGGTGGAATGTGATGGTCATTACAAAGTACATGTATGAGGACATAAATTGGTGTGAACATACTATGTATACAACCAGAGATATGAAAAATTGAGCTCTATATATGTAGTAAGAGTTATAATGCATTCCACTATTATATATAAATAAATAAATAAAAAAGAAACAGTTAAAAACAAAAAAGAAAGAAAGAAAAGCATTTGGGGAGAGCAGGAGAGAGAGTGAACTTCCTTGAAAATTATGAAGACCTCAGAGGCTACTACAGGGAATATCTTCTGCATATTAAAACTTCCATACAATTTTTCTGTCTCATTCCAGATTCTAGACAAAAATAAGTTTTTGGTTGTCATTCGTTTTTATAGACAGATTTCCCCTCACTCTTGATTTACTGAAAAGACATTACCTATCTTAGTTCTAGACTAAACTTATTTCTCTGAAAACACAACAAAAATCTTGATCAAAAAGTTGCATTTGAAAAGAAAATTTTAGGTTGACTGGATTTTTTTTTCTGCCCTAACATCAAACATTATCAGTTTTGTTTTTCGTTTTTGAGCCAGCTCAAGCATACCCAGGGTAATAATAGTAACCTGTGCTTTTCAGAATTCTATTAAACTGACTTCAGCATTTCCACAGTTCTGCTGAACTGTGACTGACATTCACTGTGATGACCTGGGATGACTGCAAAGTCTTAAAATGCTTTAGAGTTTTCAATGTAGTTTAGTGTTGAGCACAACTCCAGGCGTTCTAAATTTTTGAAAATTCATGGGTTGATACCTCAGGCTAAATGTGTTTACTCTGTGCATTGCTGGTTTGCTTTACCTGTACATCAGCTATATAAGCTATGAACACAGTTTGTATGAAAAGTATCTTCAGACAAGGTAATATGTGAAAAAATTGTAGAAATTCTTTTAGCATTCTTCTTTTTAGTATTGAAAACTTTATTGGTTTCTCCAGGACACCTTCTTGGTGAGGAAATTAATAGCATTTTTCTTGACATTTAACCCGAGGCTGTGGTGTTACTCCACTCTAATGAATTTAAGTTTCAGACATTTACCAAATGTCACCTGTTACTTGACCACTTCAATGCCAATTCTGCCCTTGGTACATTGTGCCAAGGTCAAAAATCCCTGTAACACAGGGATCCACGTGTACCTGGATTGAAAAATGAACTGGTGTCGACATAAATGCCCAGGAGAAAGACTGAGAACAATTTCATGTGTTGAGTATGTGGAGAAACAATGAACTATTTGAAAACTTCTCTTTATAAAAATCAATGGTGGGCATATGCACTAAAAAACATTAAAATGTTGCTGCAGATCTAACACAAAAATTGATTTATTTCCCAAAATAAGAAGATATACTATCTATGGAAGAGTAAAATGCTGGATTCCTATATTAATACTATATTATTCTTCTATAGTTGTTTTATATATGTATGTATTTCAATAGATATGTTTTAATTGTCATCATATAGATATCTTAGGATTTATTATATGAATATTAGTACATGTGTTGTTAAGGATTATAAAGTTAGGTGAGCACAAGACAAATTGAAAGCTTTTCCTAGTTCTGTAAGTTAAGGGTTTTATTTTGACTTCTAATTGACTCTTATGTCAATGGTTAATGATTTTATTTTTAGTTCGGACTACAGAATGTTTATAAAATCCTTTAGATTTAGCAACATGAAATCAAGTTAACACCTATTTTTAAAACTATTAAGCCAAATACATGGAAAGCACTTGTATCATGTCCAATATATAATAGGCACTTGAGAAAATTCAGTTCTCTTTGAATCAAAATTTTAATTCTCACAGTCTTGTTATTAGAGAGGTAAGGAACACTGAATGCCAGTTGTTATAAATCCCTTATCTTTTCTCAATATATGTCACATTAACTCACTTTAAGTACAAGTGAAAGTACATTCCAGCATTATACTATCTCAATACCAGTAAAAAATTAACCCAACAAAACATTTTATTTTTATTAATAAACACCAGTAAACTGAACTAAATGCTATTTTTAACCTTCCAACAAAGCTTTGTGAAAAAATAATTTGAGTATATATGAAATGTCCTCATATATTTTACATAAATTATGTTCATGAAATGGTATATTTTTAAATGTTTATAAATAATGTTTATTTTAGGAAGTTTATACCTTTTAAATGGTTATGTATATTTTTCACTTGTAATAAAATAATGTGGTTTAATTATGCTTTTTAGAGTTTATAGACGGTACACATATGTAATGGCAAAGATATCCTTGTTTTGAAATTAAAAGAAAGTTCCACAGTTAAAAGAAAGCCTGCACTGATGTTTATTTTACCTTTTCACTTTCCTCAATATTGAAATTTGTTTTTAGAAGGCTGTTTACAAAACTATCTCCTGTGGGACAATAGCTTTGGCACCTCAACAAAAGAAACTGTCTTATCCTTCAGTGATTTTATTGAATCAGACAGGAGTTGAAAGTAGTCAATATGATGAAATCTCCCCTCAGTTCAATAACAGTTTCTTTTTTAAAAAAGAAAATACAACCATCTACAGGGGTTGATTCCAGAACCCCCTGCAGATACCAAAACCTGCAGATGATCAAGTCTTTTATTTATAATGGTGTAGTATTTGCATATAACCTGAGCACCTCTGGATGACTTGTACCTAACACAATATACATGCCATGTAAATAGTTTTCCCTGTTTTGGCCTGAATGCATGTTTGAGAACAACTTCCTCCTTTGATTCCAGTTCAGAGAAATGAATTGTCTAGTATAAGAATTATTTATCTCATCACTATTTCATAAACATGGAAACCTACTGTGCTATTCCTTGAATCAGTAATTAGAATGAGGTCCAACACCCAAACCTCCAGCACCCCAATGGCTGAGTCAATGGAATAAGACCTATGTGAGAAGGGCTTGGTGGGGGCTGCTGTGTATAAGAATAAAGCATCCACAGCCGAGTCAGAACTAAGGACAGGCTTCCTAAGCAAGTTAGGTTGGTACCAAACACATGAATGTCCTGACTATAGCTTAAAGGAAGCCATTAAGAGGTATGCTTGGGTCACAAAGATTCTTAAGTTTTCCTTTTAACAAAAGAGCAATATTTTTTTTTTCTGCCAATTGAAAACTTTGGTTGGGGGTGGGGGGAAACAGCTGAGAGAACTGACTCCCTGAGCCTTTTCTCACTTCAGTTCACAACTCATGAAGTTTTCTTCTTGAGGGGAATGAATCTCTCTATAAATTCATGTAGGAGAGAACTTTGACGTAGCATGGATCTTCCAAGGCAGTTGAGGGAAAGAGCGTTCCCAGATCTCTGGAGGCCAGGCTCTTCTGAGGAGCCTCCACTTTACCATCTACTCCAGGACCCTCAGTTTCCAACTGCCTCAGGTGAATGTCTAGCATCAGGAGACAAAGTCTCACACCAGCTTTCCCCATGGGACATCCACTAGTCCACAGTGAGGTCTTCTGCACAGCAGCCAGGTATAGGCCCCAGCAACCTCTTGACTGGGGGAAACAGAAAGGCTAGTTTGGTAGCGGAGGTAGAGGAGCCATTTCTCTTTCCAGAATTCCCTGCCACACTCTGGTCCCATGATCCAGCCAGTAACTCCTGATTGTCAGTAAATGGCACACAGCTAAACCAAAAAGTTTGTGGACTCCTCTGAGAATGCTTTCTGGAGGTACTTACCAACCGTAGAAACCAAATCAGGGCCCTGGTCATTTAGTCCCTATGGAGAAATCCCTTAGATCATCTCTGGAATGGCTTAGGCTATGGGGTAATGATATGCAGCTGCTTCCCATGCTAATTGTGCCTATCAAACATCCAGAAAGTAAACTCAAGGAGACCCTTAGCTAAATCCAACAAAACAGATGGTTTCCATACACCAGGAATGGGCAAAACAGCCCTCCAGCTCAGAAGGGTCCCTTCTCTCAATTAGCTTTTGCCTTTGTTTTTCACTACTAAATTTTATTGTATTGCCAAAACTTCGTCAGGCAAAGGTAATTGGGCAGCCAGGGCTAAAAATCGTTGTAGCAGATAAAATAGTTTGTGTTCCTGTTTGCATTGGGCTTCTTATGCTTGGTGGAATCAATAAAAGAGATCTCTTGTCTCTTAACCTGTGGAAATGTAAAATTGTGCTATAATAAACAAGACTTGGAGGAAAGAGACAAAAAAAAAATGTATGGGCAGAATGCAATGGGGCTTTATTTACCAAGGTTATCTCGATTGAACTTAATTCCTTCTGAGTAATCTTGCATGCACAGAGAAATGGGCAAAGCTCTCTATTAGTTTGGAGATTCTTTTTTCAGGATCCTGGAGAGTAAGCTTAAGTAATGCAGTGATTCTGTCTTTTCAGCAAGTACTGAGACGGACACTCTGCAAAGAGAGATTGCTGTATTGAGTTCACCTGGGCCAAAGGGAGGAAAAGCATCAGCAACATGCTGATGTTGTCTCACTGTGAGAACCAAACTGGTTTAGAGTGAGAAAGACTTAAGGAATTCTATGCAATTCAGGTTATGCACAATTCAATTTCACTTAGAGGGAGGCACCTGCTGATTGAAGATTAGCCTGCAGCAAAGGGGAAAAATAAAGTGTAGAGGAACTGGTCAAACAAGACCAAGCGTTAAACTATTTATTTTGCGTACAATGGCGAGTAGCTGGGACTGGAGGTACCCACAATATGAACATGTGATCTACTTTCACAATATCCTAGCAAATCACAGAACAACAGTGTGAAGATTAACCACTTCTACCCAACACATTTCTGTG